CTGAGAAGGAGGAGAGATCAGCATTTGCCCCACCGCTGATCTCTCCTCCGCTCTCTCTAAAGGCGGACGCGATGTGTATTACATCACTTTCTGCCTTTAGCTGTCATTTCTCTAGCGGAGAGCCGGAGAAGAAGACGATAATGCAGATCTCTGCTTCATCAGCTTCTCTGGGGGTTCCTAGGTGACATTAAGGGTCTTAGAGACCCCTGATGTCTCCATAAAGAGGACCTGTCAGTGTATATTGGCTATCACATAGGGGGCCCCCTATTTCTCTTAAAAAAAATTAAAGTCCCACATAAAAAAAAAAACACCCAAAAACGTTTTAAGTCCCACGCCCCAGCGTGCACGCACTTATAAACGTAAATACGCGCCGGGTGCCTCTACACGCGGAAACACATGTTACATATTGCCGCTAACGTCAGAGTGCTAGCTATAATTCTAGGCCCATCAATCACTCATAACACTAAACTGATGAGCGGTAAAAGGTTTTGGCTATGGCCACTTTTAGGCATGGTAGTTTTTTGCGATTTCATGTGATTTAAAGCTTGACATGTTTGGTGTCTATTTACCTGACATGACCCCGTATCAGTGGCGTAACAATCGCCATAGCGACCCAGGCGGCCGCTATGGGGCCCGTGCACCCCTCTGATGCCGCCTGGGTCGCTATGGCGTGTCGGGTGCTGGCTGTCACTGACATAGCTCAGCAGCTGCTGTGAAGGAGAACGTTCCCCCTCATAGCCGCTGCGGAGCTGTGTCAGTGACAGCCAGCAGATGCGGCAGAATAGGTCGGTTACACCGGCATTTGCAGTAAAGAAGGAGGCGGGGCCCGCCTAACAGCAACCCCCGCCTCCTCCCACGATCTAAGAGAAGGTGGGGCCAGTGATGTAAGAGGAGGCGGGGCCCGGGAACGGAAGAAGAGGCAGGGGCCCGGCGGCGGCGACCACGGAGGTGACAGGTAAGAGGCGTACAGCGCAACTGAGACCTTGCAGAGCCCACCATAGAGACTCTATGGTGGGCTCTGCAAGTGGCATAACTAGCAATCACGGGACCCCATACAACATTTTGCTATGGGGCCCTGTGATTTCTAGTTACGCCCCTGTTGCCCCGTTGCATGACGGAATGAATGTCAAAGTACTGCAGAGCTGAATACCGAAAAATGGCCTGGGCATGAAGGGGGCTTAATACCCCGGTCAGCAAGTGGTTAAGATTGCACCTATGAGCAATAGAGAATTTTTTCTTCTCTTCAGCTTTTCTCTTTAATTTTTAAAGCCTAACTAAACAAACTGAAGAGAGAAGCTGATTGGTTGCCATGGGCAACTGTTCCAGTTTTGATCAATTCCCCCCAGTAGTGTGTACTGGTTTGTACTTATACTGCACTCTCTTGTTGTACTGTATGTTACACCATATTATGCTGTAACTTGTTTCACAACATTCATTATATATAATAATGGTAACTAAAAAGGAAATGATAAAACATGACTTTCCAATGACATGATCACGTTATAATGTATGGGAGATTTTAGTGATGGATGGGGAAGGTAAGCTCGGTGTTCTCCTCCTGTGAATGAGAACTAAAGCAGAGCGGTGACAGCTGACTACAGTACACACGACGCTCCCGGTAGCTCCCTCCGCCCAGTCACATCTCAGTACATCTCTCGCCAATCCGGGAGCCGC